TCAACAGTACAACCGCGCCGAATCAGGTTCATTCACCTTCCATGCCCGTGTTGGCTCCAGCGACTTCTCAGGCACTGTCTAAGTTCAATGTCTCCGGCACACTGTTCTGCTGGCCTGAACAGTCTGAAGTTCAAGCCAGCAGCATGATTAAACGGAGGTCGGTTCTGAAGGGTCCAGCAACTACCAGTGCTCCTTGCTCCAGCGTCCGGGAGGAGCAATGGAAACGCTACCAGTGCTCTGGCTGTGGTCACCGCTCCAACTGGAAGTGGGACATTAACAAGCACATCAAGGTTGCCCATCCGGAAAGAACAAACATCAGCACAATCACTATGGATCTGGAGGAGGCTCGATTAACACTGCCCGCATACTTGGACAAGATAAAAGGCCTACGTAACCGCAACTGTCGCTTTGCCAGTTGTAGAGGCGGGACAGGTAATGAGACCGATCATTCGGACAATCTCGAGGAGTGCGCATCCACGAGCGAGGGCTATTATCGCCCTTTCAAGTGCTCCGTATGCGGTCATAGGTAAGTAACATTTGCATAACTTTGAACCTCCATAGGGCTTAGGCAAGCACATTTTTTGAACGGGCAAATGCTTTTATATATCAATATATACATATATGTGTGTGTATTATCGCGGGATACTGTTCACCGATCAGTTTGCGAGACATACTGATTCGTCGTTCCTTGGGGATAAATCTGCAGACCTCGCAGGCAGTCTCGCAGCTACCACTAATGAGGCAGACATTCGTTTAGTATCATAGATACAAATGCACCCTAAAAGGGGTCTCAACAAAGACGAGACTCGAGTGAAAACTTCTGGCCTATGAGTCGTCCTTAGTCAGCCTTCCATAAGCCCAGCGCCTGAGCTTCGGACTCACGCTCTTTGGTCATTGAGTGTAATTATGACCAACGATCTACCATTGAGACAAGGGTCCGTTGTCCTGTTGGTTACGATCGGGAATATTATGTTATGCGGGGAGGGCGTTCCCCGGTCAAACTAAGAAACATCATCGTCCCATTGCGCCTTGCTACTCAATGCAAATTCCTCATAGTCAGTAGCAATATGCTAGATGTACTTCCAACATAAGTTAGTATTCCCCACCACAACCGACAAGAAAACGGGCACATGGTTCCCTGGAAGAGCGTTAAATTTAGTAACGCTGCTCAATGGTCAAAGAACGCTGGTTCGAAGCTCAGGGACCCTAAACATGGGTTTAGGCAGGGCTGGCGAACGACAGCTAATAAACCAGAAATGACCATCCCAGTCTCCCTTGTCCTTGTCGGAGCTCCTGACTGCTATGCGACTGCCTGCGAGGCCTCCGCGGAGCTGCAAGCCACAACGAGACGAGCATGCCTCGCAACCCCACTTACATTAATCGCCATACTGATTTAGATATCATATATAAGATCCTCAAGGAGGAATACAAACTGGCATAGCCAATCCCGAGATGTAGTTGACGCGTCGGCTAACTGAAGAATCCTTTGTTAGATGCGGTTGATTAACTGTTTTTTGACACTACCCATAGTCTGACGACGAGTCAGGTAACCAGCCCCAAAATCTATCCAAAAAACTATATTCTACTCAATAAATTTAATCGCCCCGTAAGTGTATAAATATAACCAGCAGAACGTTGTCCAAACCTCAGGGGTTGCAAACCTTGGATTGGGCGCAGCTGGCTGATGACGGTCAGAAATGGTCATTCCAGTCACTCTTGTCTCTGTTGATAGTTTCCTTCTGCGTATATGCATATCCATATGCATGCATGCATGAAACGCCTCACATTCTATCAATATGCCAGCTAAGAATCACATTTTTACTGTTATATCTGCAGGCAAATCAGTATAAATGTATACTTTTGGTATAATTATTAATCAGGAGTAACTGGAAGTGGGACGTGAAGAAACATATTAAACAGATGCATGACGGGACAGCCGAGGTAATCACACTGAGTTTGGAAGAAGCTCGTCGGACAATACACCACTACAAGACTCACAGGCGTCAGAGTCAGATGCGTCATTCGTTTGGAGGATCCGGTGTCGAAACGAAATTCCCCGTTTCCCCACCGCAGTGTGGGTTGAGAGAGACGGATCGTTTGGAGACACATCAGTGGTCTTCGCCGGTACTGACACAACAGGCAGTCGAAGGCCGCCTCACCAGTCCTAGCACATACAGACCAGCAGAGGCTACACGACCAACGGAGACTGAGGAGAGGGTGACAACAGCTGTTGCGTCGGAAGAAGCACCGGCTCCAACGCAGGGCTCTCCCGGATTCCGTTGCAACACCTGCAAACGTCGATTCCCCACGTGGTCGAGTCTCCATCTACACACCGTGTTCAACCACGGCAGTAGCAAGCGTTCCTACAAAAAAGTTCTGCTACACAAAGCCCTCTCATCACCGTCGGCCTCCCAATTATCGCCCTTCTCAACTCCCACCAAGGTTTGATGCTGCGACCTTTTCAGTACTTTTTTGCATAACTACATGACGGTGTGCTAGTTATATACATATAGGTGTTGTATGATATGCCATACCGGCAGAACAGGTACTAGCCACAAGTCCAGACATGTGCTTCGCCAAATAATGAACAGCCTCTAGTTAAACTAAAACGAAAAATACAACGAAAAGTACAATTTTTCAAGAAAATTCAAGTGTTAAAAACGCGAAAATTCATGTCGCATGGGCCCACTCGAATTTCAGAGGTAAATAATGTTTGCTCATGCAAAAAATACTAATTAAAACGGCAAAAGCACAGCTATGTTAAGAAAATTATTCTCTACGTACGTTTTCACTAAATTTTTTCAAGGAGTCCGTGTTAGATGAGGTATATCACAGAGTCGTGTATAAGGTCTAGTCATCTGTTCTAAGACCCTGTCGCACAAAATCGATGCACCTTCCTGTTGATTGGTTGGTTGACATGCGATCGTGTCTTATCCGTGACTACTTCCTGGAACGCGCCTCTTCGCTTCTATTAGCAGATATGCGGTTAACTAAGGCGAAGTGGATTCCACTTGATTTCACTGGTATAGCTGTCGCAGGAATAAAAGTTTCAATAAGTTCACGTACTGACAGGCCGGTCAGTGGCTACCAAATTCGAACAGAATGGGTAGGTGTAATCGAAAAAGTACTATTTCGTGTGTATAAAAGAACTTTTTCCCTGTCGAATTTATGTGCGGGTTTTTCCGTCGGTGGAGTACGCAGACTTTCAAGTCGTTCTTGAAATATCGATGATTTTCGGCGTTTTCGATCGATAGTAAAGAAAGGTCGATTTTATATTTTCCATTTTGAAAACCTTCAAGATAAGACACTTAATGTAAACAGTTACTGAATGAGCGAGTGCTTGGGCGTTTTTGTATGTAGATGACCGTTTGAGTCACATTGGAAGACCAACCCAAACATGGAAAAAAGTGAATGTCTACAACAAAATGGCCATTCAGGTCTCCCTTATCCTCGTTTATAATCCCCCTCTGCGTTCATTACTGGTCGTCCTAGATCTAGCCACAAGGCACAACAGAATGGACAAGTTCTGTAACGCGATCGATGAGCGCCCTATACCAAGACTTACATATACACAAATAAGGTCGTACCCACAAAGGCAGGTGAGACCGGAATGGCCATTTATGGATTGTTGACCGTTATCCGCCAGTCTTATCCACTATCAGACGTGAATCACCCGGGGTTCGAATCAGGAACCTTTGGTCACTGAGCGTGACACTACCCTGTCCTGTCAGCTGTGATCGGGAGTATTAATAATGGTAGAGGGGCGCTCATTGATCAGATCATGGACGAGCACGTTCCCTAGCCTGATCGGTAAGTGCTCCTGTGTACCGACAGGACAACGAACCCTCGGACAAGTTATAAGGGAGGTTGGACCTCCAACCAACAGGTCGCAGGATCGAGCGCCGGGTGTTCCACACCTCGGCGTCCCATCCGTTTCTTACTGAGTTTCAGACAATTATTTCCTATCTTCATACAGCTGAAGGCTTCACCGGACGCCCCTGCAACAGTGTTGCCCATCTTCGAGCCCATACAATCTATTCCCGCAGATCGGCTGGGCAAAACTAGCCAGCTGGAGCCTAGCATCGAGGAGGAAAGTCAACTGCAAAGACGGAAGGCACATGCACGACGGTCGCTGGTATTGCCCGTTACCAGGCCGTTGCAGCTGAGCCCTCTGAGAAGCAGTGTTCTTGGCAACTGCAAAGAAGAGCGCATCCTTCGGCCACCACACTCATTGCAGCCCAATCTCGATTCGGTCCCCCGCTCCGCTGACAAGGCTTTCGAGCTGGTTAGCCTGCTGGAACGGGTGCTACAGCTCCTGGAAAGCGCGGGTGCCACCTCCAATCACTCGCTCACCGAACTGCAGTCCAGCTGCAATCAGTCACTGATAACATCCCTCAAAGAGTTCGCACGTGAGCAAGCCACACAGGCTGTCTACTCCATGGGTAAGGAGGGCAATCTAAGCGGCAGTGAGGGCCAGAACACCTCGAATGAGGAGAACAGTGCAGCTGCCTATGAAACAATCCCAACGAGGTGTGTTTTGTTTAGGTTACTCTTACTAACTAATAATTAGTAGGACATTTTTTAAACTTGATGTTTCACTCTTGTTTTGCAGTGGGCCCTCGGAGCGTCTAGTGGAGCTACTGCTGCAGCCACAAGTTCAGCCACTGATGACAAAGCTATCAGTTCTCCTTCAAAGAGCACAGCATATTGCCACAGCTTCACCAAACACCTGAGGATAAAAAGACACTTCTCATATCCCCACGCCCGAAACCACCCATCATCCTCCCGACTAACGCAAGTTAACAAATTTGCTTTTTTTACAAGCAACACTGTGCATTATTCCTCCTCTCACAACATCTCCACACACACCTACAAGAAGAAGTTTCGCTTAATTTTTATTATTTCTTTTTATTATCGGTAGTACTCTGGCCACAAATACAACATGTGTTTCTCTTTCAACATCCCACTTCTCTTTTAAAAAGAAGCTGACGCCATCAAATCTAGACATGTTTTCGAGAGTCCCAAAAGTGGTTTGTTGGGTTTCGATCGAGGATCTCGTAAAAAAATTGATATTGTCCTCGTCCGTAGGGTGCCATGGGTAGTGGCTCAAATTTTGGCAATTTGCCGTCCGAATCCTGGTGACCATATTCGCGGCGACGATCGCAGCCAATGGTTCCGCCCACATTTATGGCGCAACAACCAGCGCAGTGACGCTGCATTGCGTTGGGAAATTTGTGCTCCTCTTGCCGATGCTTATTCCGCTGCTTGAATGCGCGCATGCGATAAAAGTCGCCGAATGAGAGTTTGTCAATCGTAGGCACCTTTGGGTCCTCGAGTTTGAAGTAACGACAGTGGACGTTGTAGTCCATCTCCAAGGGCTGACGTTCGTGCATAGAAGGTACATCCTGGAAGAAGCGTCCTTGTTGAGAAATGTTGCGTAAGGAAAGCGTGCTAGGGAAGACCATGGTCCCGCTGGAGGAGTAAGGGCTGAATCCGGCAGCCGCTTGCTGTTTTACCAGCTGGGGAAGCCTTTCGTAGATGTAACTGCTGTGGGTGTCATGCGACATCCTATCACGTGTAAATAAGAAAGATACAAATACGCAGAGGGCAGTTGTAAACACTCGAGGGGAAAGATTATATTTTGAGTTCTACTCATATTTGATAACCATTCAACGGGTAGACACTCGTCAGCACACATGAAGCCGAGTGTCTGCCCAGGGAGCCTGAGAAACACCTTTCTGTGTCCTAAGCTCACAGTTAAGACAGGTTGTAACACTCGATTCACAGTAAAGAAGGGCGAATTCGTGTTGTGAAAAATTATAACACATGAGCGTACTGTTCAAAGGTTGTTAAATCGAGGAAATAGCCGGAAGTGATGGAAGTCTCTGGTTTCAGATCGTCACCTTGAGGCGCAAGCAAGGATGTCATAACATCAAACTGTGCGCCGTCCGCAGAAACGATTAGATTCCCCGGACCACCTCTTAACACTGTGTTAACCGATAAGGTATCTACCCCCAAATCGATTCGCGAAAAGATCTGTTCATCCAAAGCAAGTGTCAAACAATTGGCCCTCTAATCTCAAAAGTATCAGCTCAGGAATATATTTATCAATATTTCTGACAGTATAAATAGGCCTTCAAAAATTCGGCAATTTTTAACAAGCAGTGGTCCGCATCCAGTGGGCATCACAAAAAAACTGGACAAACGGGAAGTTATTAAATTTAAAAGTGGCTATTGATGCATATTAAAAATTTGAGGAAATTCGACACTGGCATCCCATCCCACTTAATCTGACCGATATTTTTGCACTTGTAGACATTTAAGGCCTCAGAATCCCAACGAATGTTGGAATCGTACTATCCGTCCGTGTCTATAACAACCTGCAGGCGCATATTCTATAAGACAAACGGTTTACAGATATATTGGCGTCATGTAATCAGGAAGACCTAATTCCTCTAGATTCCAATGCCGCGCTAGTTAACTGTAGGACTTAATCCACGAGGAATGGTGGTGACGGGGGTTGGTGCTGATGGTAGTGGGACAAATTTGATCAATGCTAGGACAAGTCCTTGTCAATAGAAAAACTCCCTGGGTCGGACCGTAAGGGCTTTCACACGTATTTGTACGAACTATGTTCTGCCCTGTCTAAATTCGGTGCTCGTTGAAATTACAGCGGAGGAAGTATCTGCTGCAGTTGAGCCGCGTGGTTATGCTCTTTAATTAAAAGACCCGTTTTCAGAATCCCACGGATAGCAGTTATGCAAAGCTCAAGCAACGAGTCAACTTTAAATCTCTGCGGAATATGGTCTACCAAATATACTGGCCGGATCCATACTTAGAGCAAAGACCTGATATAAATGCCGTCTAGCAAGACTAATCTGGGCACCCTGTGTCTGTGTCTCCACAGTATACGCTTATACGGCTCAAGGATACTTGTCCATAGATTACGAGCAGAATCCACTGTTGAATCCACAAGAGAAACAAACTTTGGCTGATACATCTTAAATATAAATCAATACACAAGCAGTAGAAGCGATCGCTGAAACAAGAGCTTTATTCTTCTGACTTTCGGATTTTTGCTTGGACCCGTCATCATTGACAAAGACAGAAACGGGTCTCTGAGGATGGGTTCAAACAAGAATCCGAAACGTCAGAAGAATAAAGCTCTTGTTCGAGCGATCTATCCTACTTCTTTTCAACTGGTTTCTGGAACTCGCATCTTTGCTTGTATAAGACAGTACAATTTTGAATGCACCTGAAGATCAATAACAAATTCTGCCACAAAATACACTATTGAGACAGTCCGGTAGAATCTGTTAGAACACTGCTATATGTTGAGATAAATTAGCAGAAGAGAAAAAATAGGCATGTTGATGTACTATGGAGGAGGAATAACAGTACACGGAATGCGATGTCAAGGCTGCCTCCCTTCTTGCACGGCAGTTTGTTCAATGTTACCGTGCAAATAGTTGCACGCTTTTATCTACGCCTGTATCCTTGACAATTTTTTCAAATGGAGGGGATGATTATTGAGTCACTGATGGGGGAATCCCATCTACTTGCTCTGAAATCGAGCAACGTCCCAGGGCCTTTTAAAACTCAGTCTTATCTTAGCTATTTTTTGCAAAGTTAATTGGCTATTGGCCCCTTTACTAAAAATAAGATATACCCGTAAACAACCGTCCAGTAAGCTTTACTAATGTAGTAGGTGAAACCCAGAAGAGACTGCGTGAATGCCTATGGAATTATTTAGCCAACATGATTTCATTATTGAAAATGACATACAAATAATCCTTCCAACACGGCGCAAGGTTGGACGTCAAGGAAAATTTTGAGGCTGTCTTCCCAGAACTTTGCAAAGTTTTCATTAAACCAAACCACAAGTTGTTAGTGCGAACAACTGTCGAAGATTTTGAGGCTGTCTTCCCAGAACTTTGCAAAGTTTTCATTATCTTACAAAATACCCTAGGATTAACGCGTATTATCTGGAAGTAGGGGCGGTTGTTAGAACTCACATTTCTCCGGTCCAAGCATTGTTCTTTGAGAACCATAGCTAAAGGTAGGCGGAGTGAAAGCCGTGGCGCCTTGAAAACAAAATCAAAATATCGTATCCGCAGGAGTTAACTTTGGCCATAATGTACTCAAAGCACCAATAACTGATTACGATGTACTCTTGCGGATACGACATTTGTTCGCACTAGCAACTTGTGGTTTGGATATCCCTGCGCAGACTGACCAATAAAATCTCGCAGTAAATATGAAATAATGTCGACTCTTCATAAGAAACACCAACTGGGTTTTAAAAATGAGTCCTTCCATAGCGTCAGATGACAAAAATTACGTAAATCAAAGCCATAACTGATATTTAAATTGTAATTCCAGATAGTCGGTTATCATTACACACTATTGACGAGCGGCCAGAAGGGTGCGTTGAGTATTTTTTCTTATTGGCGAATGCCTCAAAAAGGTAAACAAGCAAAAGGCTATTATATTTTATACTATAACTGCTTGACTGCACAATACACACTGTTTGCCGGTGCTACCTCCAACTTGACCAGGGAATCTGGAAGATTCTACTAGGATCTAGTAGAAATAAAAAGTTGGTTTTCTTACTTTGCGCTACACCAGGGGACGTACGGTTCCTTTGGTTTTGGACTTATGCCGGGAATGACGTTATAATTATAACTTAGCTCTGTCATTCGCTAAGTTGACTTAGGTCTCCTCACCTATCTTATTCCAGAGGGAAAGTACTGACAAATTCAGTAATCTTTGGATATCCGTATTGTGTAACTGTCTAACCTCCCCGTTAACACATGGTCCAACCATAACACTGCTGGCACCAACCCGCCAGGCCCCCTCTGGTCTGGTAGGAAATTGCAATCTCCGGGGCAAACTGTCTCCACTGGACAGCCAAAACCAAACTAAAAATTTCAATAAATAGGTACTGATTATTAGGTATTAAGTCATAAATTTAACAACCGGGTTATGGACTCATTATACTGCCGTGTTCAATCGATCAACATTAGTAATGTTGAAAAAACGTTTCCTGATCTGATGGCAGTGAAAAACATATATTAACTGCCCTTTTTCAAAAGTGTTGAGGGAATTAGATGGTGCGGGATAAGCATATAAAAGGTATCGGATTATTTAATGTCTTTCTAATAAACCATACGCTAACTGGTGTTTGTGCTCCCAATTTTTACAAACTATTTAAATAGTCGCAGTTTCGTTGTTATGGCATCGCTTACTGTACAGGGTCAAGGTTATTTATTTTCTTAACACAAAGGCGGGGTCTCCGTTCAGAACTCAGACCGAAAGGTCACAGATATGTCCTCGTTCTTTAATGTAAACCCTATTAAGAATGATGCTTTTAAGGTAACGTGGTAGGATCTCGTTTGTCTGCATTTTGTATTTGTGATATTTCGCCATCAAATGGGCATGGCTGGTCTTTCATTTTGCAGACTATCTCAAGTGTTTATATCTATTCTCTAGGTGTACAGTTCACATTGACCTGAAGCAAATAAATTCAGTCTCGTCTGCTTTTTTCGAACCATGTTCAACTTGGCTAACTGAAATATCTTCCTTGGAATATAATTTTACCTGTCTTGGTCCACGTAAACTACCCTTAGTTATTGTAAAATATTTATGCGGTTGGATGTTTTGCCATTAAGGAAATAAAATTAATAACGGAATAGGACAGCGGACTTTGAGCTCCTCACCTGTATAAGAAAAGGCAAGGCGGTGAAATGTTAGAGTAGTAATTCAAGAAAGTGTCAAGTAATCGGTGTATGTGGGCCAGACGCACTACCTGGCATATCTCCGTCATTCTCACAGAATCACGATTGTGGCTACCTAGATTTGCCGCTCCGCTTAGAATAATTTTCCTCTCTTCAGGTGACTTAAGATTTTATCGCATATTTTTCCCATGCTTGAGTTCTACTGATCCTCCCTTGGTTTATTAAAAGGATCTAGTCGTTCATGAGCTGAAATGTCCGGCGGTTATCTCCGAAAAATTTTTTCAATTACACGGAATGCCTCCTGTTTAAATAAATCCCAGATGACTGGCTTTAAAATCCCATGGGTTTTGCAGCTGGATGCTGATCTCTGTCTCTCTTTTAACAGTAACTGTAGTCAAAAAAATCGTTGGATTATTTTCCGTACCCCTGTAAGTCACCTTTGCAACATTCCAACGTCTTTCTTACTTTTCCCTATATCCGCCACCTGTAAAAGTTGTGTTTCTTTCGCTTCCATTCACGCTTTCTTCTGGAATTATTTTCCTATAGATATTAGGTCGACGCTCTGATGTCGCTGCATCTGAAAGTGACCAAAACATTGGCTAAAGAAAGGTAAGATCATAACCATCAACGACTGCTATATGACACAGCCAACGGAAGCAACTAAGACGTGATTCTATGATTTCACAAGAATGCGCAAACCAGATTCCCCTCTCCGGTCATTCGCTCAGTCGGAAGCATACAGATCAAGTGTTTTAGAAGTTAAAATTTCTGACCGCGTGCTCACAAACAGCGAGCACTCAGCAGCACAAGTTATAAATAACATAAAGGTG